AGTTGAAAACATTTCTCAGAGGCTGTTTGATATAATGAAAACTATAGAATTTGACCACCCATGTGAGAAATTTCTTATTTACATCATTAAATGATTTATTAGATTGAAAATATTTGATGTATTAAAGGTTTACAAATAAAGATTTATATAGTCGAAAAAGTCCGATAGAACCAATAGAAAGGTACTATTTTGTCACATTTTAATTAAATTTTGTTAAATAAATTAATTTTTTATACTATAAATATCTTTTTTTTCCTTATAAATAAACACATTTGTATCCCATTTTAAATAAGATATACAAATTATCAAAACTTAGAAATAACAGTTCAAAAGTTCAACAAAAATCCTACACCCGTTTTTAAAAAGAAACATATAATCACGCACTATGTCATTCATAGGTTTCCGGACTAAACGACTGGTGTATTTACACCACTCAATAGGCGTGTGGGGTTTGCCGAGCGGTTTCCGATGCAGTCGCTTTCTTTCGCATCTGTTATAGGTAATTTGTGGTAGAATTATCTTTGCTACCGTCTATGGTCTAGTTGGCAAAATGTTAGTGATTCGTCAAGATATTTATAAATCATTATTTAAATAATTATTAATTCAGATATTTCCGATTTGTCGGAAAGTTTGGTGATTTGTGTTTATAGTTTTTGTTTTTGTGACCAAAGACACCTGAATACGTCAATCAATCCTAATTTATGTCATATACTAACAAACTAAATCTCGTTTTTTTTATCTGAAAAAATAAAAAAGTTGTGAGGTGAGCCCCTTTTGATAAACGCCCGGTATATATTATTTAGTAAAAGTATCAACAATGGTATCTAAAAAATATTTTTATGTAAAAATCTATCTGTTTTTCACTAGAGAAATTTAGGAAAAAATTAATGATATAAAATGTATACCTAATTTTCAATACTTATACCTAAATTCAGTGAAGCTTGAAGACATAAAATAGTTTACCTCATTTCATTTCGACGTTACCAATTTAGAAATAAGAATAAACGTTTCCTTTTTTATTAAGTTGAGACGTATTTGAAGAAATCCATTTACTAAGTTTCTTTTCAGTATCTACGTAAATTTATGGGCTCGTTCTGGCTTTCACAGGCTGAAAAGCAAATATTCCACAATGAACTTAAGTTGTAAAGTGACGCAATTTTGCGTGTAAAATCGCAATTTTACGACAAGGTAATAAAGTAATTTGTCACACCTGAAAGGAAAGCAACATAAAATGGCAACGTCTATATTAAGAATTTCTTTTCAGTGAAATATTGAAGATCGCTTTGTGATTTAGTAAAAGCCGGGTTATAGCGTAAACTATTTTATTATTAGTGCAGTGGTGTAAATTATTTTTACTTTAGAAAATATGCAAACAAGTAAATATGATGCGAAATTTTTGAAGAAGCGTTAAAGTTATACTTTCGTCTAGAATTTCGTTTTTTCTTTGGAATAGGCATCTAAATATTATTTGCAAAAATCTTCCTTCAAATTACTAAAAATTTATAATACGGCCCAGAGAATGCTACAATGAAAATACCAGCAAAATAGTAAAATATATATTGTCAATTTGTCGAGATTGTCATTGTCAAGTTCGATGTCACATTTTGTGTACAAAAATTCGTATGGTTTGTAAAGGTAAAACTTTTTTTTTAAAACTGTCCCAAAAGTATTGGAAATAATGTATGGTATAATAGATTTAAAAACTTTTTTTAAATAACAAAATATTTGAAGATCCTCTGTTAAAACTTGTTATACCTACAGGGTGGCCCATCGAAAACGTTCCGCAAGGCATAACGGCCAGGGTATTCTTTTTTTCAAAAAATCCAAAAACACGTCAATTTTGTTCGTGAGGGGGACAACTTTTGTCCCAAAAATGATAGCAAAATCTTCAACCCTCGCAGCGGGGGTGTCATCCCCCAACTTTTTTCAAATGGGAAGGGGGATCAAGTGGCGCCGCAATGAAAAGAGCTTTCTATTCTCTATATTTCCCCGCCTCGTTTTTGAAAATCGGTAGAGTCATTGAGAAAATATGAAGGATAGAAATTTGAAAAGTTTATTTAAACATTTATCAGAGTATAAATTCCTTTATTTATAAGGATAAATTCCTTCGACCAATTTGAGTTTTTCTTTCTTATTATTTCTAGATGTTTACGCATTTTTTCACTTGGGTTGAACGATCAGGTGCGGTAGTTGCTAGATAGCTGTTCTGTGGCTTGTGCGTTAAAGTTCTTCTCAATATCGTTAAACTGACCTACAATAGAATTTCCAAAAATACCAGCCCACACGTTCAATTTCTGAGGTTTTTTTGGGTGCACCTCGTGAAAAACCCTGAGGTTGTCCTCAACCCAGTACCGAGAGTTGTGCCGATTAACTACATCGTTCAAAAAGAAAGTACTCTCATCCGAAAAACACACATTAAATAGGAAATTATTATCATTCGCCACTCGTTCACTCATAGTTTCACAAAATTGTAAGCGACGATCAAAATTCTCTTCATTAAGTTCTTGTACCAACTGAATTTTGTACGGGTAGAACTTGTGTTTTTTAATATTCTTGGACATTTGTACGATTCACGCCGGTCTCATTGGCCAATTTTCTTGTTCTCAGCGTACTATCCATATCCATGGCCACTTGGCCCAATACGAATACCTCCATAGCTTCATTTACTACAGGCCTCTACTCTGCCTCTTTTTATTCATAACGGAACCAGTTTCGCGAAATTTTGCTACTAACTCGCGAACAATTTTGCC